GGATTGTTGGCCAGAAAAAAAAGGTCCCTTCTCTTTGCGATGGGATCTTTGATCTGGCTCTGAACAGTTAGACAAGACTTTGGTTTAACATCTCATCCAAACAGAATCTCCAGCAATGCATCACCCAATGCACGGCACTGGAGCATCAGCAGGTAATAGAGTCAAAGAATCCTACAGCACAGAAGGAAGCCATTCGGCCCATCGTGTCTGTGCTGGCTCTTTGAAAAGAGCTATCCAACTAGTCCCACTCCCCCGCTCTTACCCCCCATAGCCCTGTAAATTTTTCCTTTTTAAGTACCTATCCATTTCCCTTTCAAAAGCTACTGTCAAATCTGCTTCCACCACCTTTTCAGGCAGTGCTTTCCAGATCGTAACAACTCTCTGGGTAAAAAGAAAATTCTCTTTGTCTCCCCATCCGGGTCGTATGCCTATTTTAGCTCACTAGAATTGGCCTCAATGCCCCTAAGCCAGGGAGAGAAAAAATGATGAGTGACAGTCAGTCTGTGCTCAGATCCCTTATGATGCCACTAGAATATACAGACCCAACATTTTCAGTCTTTCATCAGGAGATGAACGTGGCTGTATGTAACTCAAGAATATAAGCATTAGTGCAAGACAAACCTTTGATATTCTGAACCAATTATATTTGAGAGATGAGTCTCACTGGACCCATGTCTACGAGTTGTGTATTTATTTTAATGCAGGTTATTATTAAATGCCTTTGAGGTTCCCAGAGCTCTGCACTCGATCCTTTGTTAGTTTGTTTTGTATCCCTAAAGAATCCTCGCATTCAGAAATGTTTATCTGTCTGAATGCTCTGTACTGTCCCATAAATCACTGACAAAATGTACCGACACTTTACAATTTAGACAAGTGTAATGTGCTCAAAGGGCTTTAATGCAGGCTGAATCCTTCTCAGCAGATAAGGCACATTGGATGTTAGACTTGTTTTGATTTCTCTGCTCGTCTTGCCAAATCAGTTGAGTTCAGATCCCCTGAAGTCACACTCCGGGTATATAGTGGTCTTGTCGGGCTGCATCTGGAGTGTCACCTAGAGACAGTGAGTGCAGAGGAGAGCTCTGGATTAGTGTTAGAGGAATGAGCCGTGAGCAACGGTTTGAGCGTCTAGAGATCTTTAGTCTGGAAAAGAGACTATAGCGGTATATAAGTTTATAAATGTAATTGAGAAAGTACAAAAAAAATACAATTTAGTCGTTCAATCCAACACTGTTTGTGGGATACTGCTGTACACAATTGGGCACAAAATACACAGTCAATCCACTCTTTAATACATTCTGTGAAGCGCTTTGAGATATCTCAACTACGTGATAAAGCGCTGTATCAATTGCTCTTGAACCAGGATGGTCTATCCCATGTAGTCCTGGATCTCTCCTGCATTGTCAACACCCAGACTCTCTGTTTCATGTTGGAGGAGTGGAGATGAACCATACTTCTTAGCAAGAGTGAAATACAACAGCAACAAATTAAATTTGTATAGCGCCTTTCACGTGAAGAGGCATTCCCAAGACAATGGACAGACAAGGATTTGGACCCAAGCTGGAGTTTGGGATCAGGAGGGGTGATAGAGGGCAGAGATGGTAGGGGTAGGAGAGTGATCGAAGTTGTGTTCGAAGAGGAGGGTTTTGAGATGGGTCTTGAAGGAGACAAGGGACGGGGCGAGGTGAACGGACTGTGGGATGGAGTTCCAGAGGGGAAATTACTTCTCTTGATGAGATACAGTTAAGCTGGGCCTCCAATGGAATGAAACTGACTATGAATACGTACGAGCAGCAAGAAGGGGGAATGCGTAATGGGGCAGAGCACCATCTCCGAAGTGCTTGACGACACAGAGAATGCTGTTTCTAGTTCGGGATTAATGAGCCAAGTGACACCAACGGTTCTGCTTTGCATAGATATAAAGAAGGTTTATGCTGGTTGAGCATTTTTTAAAAAAATTGCAATATATAATAATGCCTATAATAATTATTAATAATAGTCCTTATATTTGACATAACGTCAAAATATACAGTCAATCCACTTTACAGTATATTCTGTGAAGCGCTTTGAGGCGTCTCAACAATGCGATAAGGCACTGTGTCAAATGCAAAGATTATTATTATAATATTGAAGCATCTTAAAGCACTTCACCGGATTTTACTGTGAAGCATAGTGACCGTATGAGTAGGGAAATCCAGTGGTCAGTTTGCACGCAGCAATGTCCCACAAAGAGCCATGAAATGAGTGACCAATTCTATTTGGAGGAATTGTCAGCCAGGACATTGGGAGTAAATCCCTTCGCTTTTTCAAATAGTGCCATGGAATCTTTAAAGTCCACAAGAACAGGCAGATGGGACCTCAGTTTAAGTCTCACCCGATACATCTTTATGCAATGGACAAGAAACCTATGATCTGATGAACTCGATGAACTTCGAAGTTGAACATATTAATTATAGATTTCATTTTACGTGCAGTTAATCTTAATTAGGTTGCCGTGTCGAGCCCAAGTCATATTCCCTCTCAGCACCTTGTGTGATAAACCGCTTCTGTGTTGTTGCCACTAAAATCTCACAACATTAGCAGATACCAAATAAATCCCCAGAGTAATAATGATAATACTCCATTTGTTACAGCGCCTTATCACGCTGTTGAGATGTAATGTCTCAAAGCACTGCACGGAATATGCAGCCAAGTGAATTAACTGCGTATTTTGAATGCGAAACACCAACATATGAGTAAACAAAATATGAAACAAGTTTTTTAAAAAAATGAGTGACCAAAATAAGGCCGTTAGGAACTCTAAAACGTTGAGTATTCTGTGTTTAATTTGCGGATGGTCGCTGTTTGATAAACACTCAACTCAGAGTCTTGTTGGCTGTGAGGACGTCTGGGAAACAACAATAACAACTTGCATTTATATAGCAGCCTTCAGACAGGGCAGCGTCTCAGAGCGCTTGTGTGATAGTATAAACAGAGTTGGAAACAAACCCAGATTTTATATATTGGCACAAATATACTGAACCAGACGCTTAATAATTCTTGCATGAAACCTCTGATCATTTCAATCTGATCTGGTTCTTGCCTAGAACTTTGTTTTGCTGGTCCAAAATTATCAAAGGCTCCAAATCAAATGGTAATAGCGCAAAGATTACTTTTGATGGTTGTTAAGTGTATCAGTGTATGTGAGTGAGTTGGTGGGGGTTGGAGGAGAGTGTGTGCGTGTGTGTGTATGTGTGTAAAATTAAATATTGTATAACAGTCTGGAGACAGAGAGAGAAATAGAGAGAGAGTGTGTGTGTAAAACTAAATACTGTAAAGCAGTCAGACAGACAGAGAGAGGGAGAGAGAGTGTGTGTAAAGCTAAATACTGTAAAGCAGTCTGGAGACAGAGAAATAGAGAGAGAGTGTGTGTAACACTAAATACTGTAAGACAGTCTGTCAGGCTGGAGACAGAGAGAAATAGAGAGAGAGAATGTGCAAAGCTAAATACTGTAAAGCAGTCAGTGGAGACAGACAGACAGACAGAGAGAGAGAGAGACAGAGAGAGAGAGTGTGTGTGTGAGAGAGAGTGTGTGAGTGCAAACAGCCAGAATCCTTTTGAACGGTCCTTTAAAGAAAGGCACTTCATTCCCACTTTATAAATCCTGCTCAAAATCCTTCCTTCGTCACCACCACGACGATAAGTCATTAGTTTGCCTGGTGGGAGCTTTAATGCTGGGTGGATTAAGACATATTCAGTGTCTCAATCTCCATCCTCTCTCTCCATCCATCCCTCCCTCCACTCCCAAACCCCCCCCCCACAACATCAGGAGCCACACATTCCCCATCTTCTCTCTCCTGGACATGATTTCAACAACGTCTCGCTTTGCCTTTGGAGGAAAATAGATTTGATTTGATTTGATTTGATTTGATCTGATCTGAGGACCGGTTTGCAAAAGAAGAAATAAATAGACCCTGTTTTCTGCTTGTCACTGAGGACAGAGGAGAATATGGGAAACTGTGTGAAGTCACCTCTCAGGAATCTTTCCAAAAAGGTAGGTTTATTGGGGGGGGAATGGATTTACCCCTTTTACCAGAATTGTAGGTGTGTTGTAGGTGGCAGTGATTTGTAAGAGTAAATGCGAACGTTACTGTGTCTGTGTGTGTCTGTGTGTGTGTGTGAGAGTTTAACAAGGAGGGGGAGAGGATGGAAGGAAGGAAAGGTATTTAAAGACTGTGGGAAGATTTGCAACTTAACGCAGAGTGGGGAAAAAAAAACCCGAAATGCAGTGGATGCGTTCATTTCAGCGCAAACTGCTTAAAACTTAGCGAATAACGAAAACCCTGGGGTGCAAACTGGATTGATTGCGCCTGGTGCATGTTTTTTTGTGGGGTGGGGTGGGGGGGTTGCAAATTTGCGATTTGCATGCGTTAAATTGGCAGCAATTGATTAAATATATAACATATAATATATAATATATACATGGTGTGTGTGTGTGTGTGTGTGTGTATAAGGTTGGAACCTACCTGATATAGTTGGCTTTTGTACATGTTTGAGTCAGGTGCAAAGTGCATGGAAAAAAAGAGTGTGAAAATAGGGGGGGGGGCAGAAAAATAAAAGAGTCTTTATTATTATTTTTGCATGCGAGAAGTTTGGGTTAGCTTAATAATTCCCCCTCCCACCAGCCAAAAAAAAAAAGCTTTGAAGTTTTCCACCTCTTGTCTGGCGTTCAAATCAAACAACTGATTGTTGCAAAGAGGAATGGAAAGGGGTTCAAACCCAACGCTTTTTTTTTTAACCCTCTTCCCCCCCCCCCCCCCCCCCCACACCCCCCACCAATAAAAAGGGGGGGGGAGAAAGAGAGAGGGGGAGAAGGAGGGGAAGGAAGGAAGGAAATAAAAGAGAGAGAAAGAAAGAAAGAAAAGGGGAAAAAAAAGAAAGAAAAGAAAAGAAGACAAGTGAAAGCAAGGCAGGGCTGGATTCTAATGTGTTGTTTGTGTGCTGGTGGTTTTGGGTGGAAAAGATCCGAAATGAGGAGAAAAACACCTACAAAATAGTGAGGACCAGCGAGGATACAGTGGGAGCAGCATCAGCATCAGCATCAGCATCAGCATCATCAGCAGCAGCAGCGCCTCCTGCAGGCGGCGGCGGGGAGTTTCAAGACCCCCTCTTAGCCCTGGCTCACAACTGCGCTCTCATGCACAACCTCCTGGGGCCAGCCTGCATATTCCTCAGGAAAGGATTCGCTGAGAGGCAGGCTGTAAGTAAGTCTTTCACTGGGACATTGTGCACCCATTCAGAGGGAGAGAGGTGGGGAGGGATGGAGGGAGGGATGGAGGGAGGGATGGAGGGATGGAGGGATGGTGGGAGGGATGGTGGGATGGTGGGATGGAGGGATGGTGGGATGGTGGGATGGAGGGATGGTGGGATGGAGGGAGGGATGGTGGGATGGAGGGATGGTGGGATGGTGGTGGGAAGAGACATGAGAAATGAAAATCCATCTCTCCATCTCTTGTTTTTTTTTTCAACACACACCATTCATCTATTTTGCTCTCATCCTTTGTCATATCTGTCTCTCTCTCTCTCTGTCTCTCTCTCTTGGCTGCCAGGTTAAGGTCATAAGAACATTTTCCCCGGTGGGTGGGGGTTGGTGGGGTGGGGGTGGGGGTGGTGGTGGGGTGGGTGATAATCCCTTCCAAAGAAATGATTAAATTGAATTCAAAAATGTGTTTGGTCGCTCAATCCACCGCTGTTTTGTGGGCACAGCGCTGTGCCCAATTGGTTGCCGCCTTCCGCCCATGAAATACGCAGTCCATCCGCTTTACGGCGTGTTCTGTGAAGCGCTTTGAGACGTCTCGAAGACGTGATCAGGCGCTGTATCAAACGCAGGGATTATTATTATTGTTATTATTATTATTATTTATTATTATAAGAATTTGCTAGAAAAAAGAAGACTTTTTTCAAGGTCCATCGACTTCACCTTCCACCGTCCTGGCAGTCGCATGACGTGTCGTGTCCCAAACTATATGCCGTATTGTATCCCGAGATATTATTTCTGAACAGAAACCTATCTAGTTTGTTCTTGCTCTCACCGTTTGCCGAGGGCGCTTGTTCCATACGTTTACTACTCGCTGACTGACTTCGCACCAGATGCTGATTCGAGGAAGGCAGCAGTCGTATCTTTTTTTATTGCTTTTGGCGAATCTGTAATGCTAAATAATAATAATAATAATCCTTGCATTTGACATAACGCCTTATCACGACGTTGAGACGTCTTCCAAGAACATATTGTGAAGTGGATTGACTGTGTGTTTTTGAGGGCGAAACGGGGCAGCCAATCGCGCACAGCAGCGTCCCACAAGCAGTCATGGATTGAGCGACCGAATTATTATTGTTCATTTATTTAATGAAGGGATTCTTACCCCCAGAAAGCGATCCACCAATCGGCTAACAACCAGGTCATATTTACTGCTAGGTAAACAGAGGTGTGTGGAGTAAATTCATGAAATTAAGAAATCTTTCAGAGTCGTCCTTCCGTGTGAAGACGCTATATAAATGTAATTTGTTGTTGTTAATTCCCCTGTATCCCCATATTCCAATGGAGACATCACTTTTTTGCACCTATCCTCCCCATAAGACAGTAGATAAGGCTCTTTGCCTGCTGCCTGCAGTATTATCACTCTTCAAATAATCTTTCTTTTCTCTCTCCGGCTTTTAAGTATCACCGAATTAACTGCATCTTGTCCCTCAGGGGAGAAATCACCTCTGAAGGATGCAACCAATTAAACTTATAAACAAACACCCAGACTGAGAATAAAAGCCAAACAGACAAAAACCCAGACAGGTTTTGTAAGCAGATCATTATATTTTATATCTTTATTGGTATCAAACCTGCTCGTCTTAGGGTTAAGGAACAATAATCCTTGCGTTTTGTGCAGAAAATACAGTCGATTCACTTTGCAGTGTGAAGCGCTTTGAGACGTCTCAATGACTTGATGAGACTCTGTATCAAACGCAAGGATTATTATTATTACTATTATTTGATATTGTTATTAAGGAATAAGCAGTTGAAAGATTAGTGTGTGTTGCGACTGCAGTGAGTCCCTGGCCCTTTATGTCCATCTGTATTTTCTTCTGATAACCCTCCTCTCTTTAGCACCGCTTTGCCCTCGGTCTTGCCAAATGTGTGACAAAATTCATCCTCAGTCCGATGTGGATTCCTCCCGGGGGACTTGCTCGCTGCTCTCATCTCTTCTCCCTGGTCTTAAATTTCACTCCGACGTCTTTAAGCTTCACTGATCCCTGTAGGCGCATTTAATCTCTCTTGCATTCTCACAGTCAGTTCATGTGTTGCCAGCTGCGCTGTAAAGATAAGGGGAGATGAGAAATCGGACCCAAACTGTAAGACAATAACCTGGGCATGTCCATCCATCACCCATCCAACCATCCATCCACCTGTCTGTTGTTTTACCCCCACATTCACCCTCCTCCACCACCTGCTCATCCACTCTCCCCCCTCCCCTCCTCTCCCCCCGGCCATGTGAGTGACTCCGGATGAGATGAGATACTTTTTACATTGCATGTGTGTTTCTATCTTGGCCTCTCCTCCTACGCCCCTCTCGTTTCCAATGCAGTTCAAACGCAGGGCCTTGGTTCGGACGTCCTCCCAACGTGAGAGGTGCTCTACAAATACAGTTAGTTGTTGTTGTTGTCTCTTATGCTGTACTGTGACTCCTAAAAAAAACACAACACCGATTTAGGACATTATTTCTCAAGGCAAATGATACATATCAATAACCTCTCTGTCTGTACAAAGGTATTCCAGATGTGAGCAGGAATAGCGATGGATTCAATACGTTCCTATTCAGTTCTCGGGCCAGAATTTTATTGGCGTCAGACAGGTGCTTATTTGGAGCCCAGATGTTTTTACGCATTGGGACAAAGCCTTGCATTCGATCTAACACCTTATCATGTTCTTGAGTCATCTCAAAGCGCTTCACAGGGCCTTCTGCCAGACTGCACTGGCTGCCTGTCCCAGAGAGGCTTGATTTCAAAGTCCTCACTCTTGTCTTCAAATCCCTCCACTTCTCTGCACCTCCCGACCTCTCTGACCTCCTCTCTCCTCACAACAGTGCCCATTGCCTTCACTCCACCGGGTCTGGCCTCCTCCTTGTCCCCCGAATCCTCCGCTCCACCATCGGCGGCCGTGCCTTCAGTCACTGCTTCCTGAGGCTCTGGAACTCCCTTCCTCACTCCCTTCACCTCGCCCCCTCTCTTCCTATTTTCAGGTCTCGGCTGAAGACCTTTTCGACCGCGCCTTTGGTCACCTTCCTCCCCCTCCCCCCGGCTCAGCCCCGGGATCCGTTACCGTGAAGCGCCCTGAGACGCCGTCCGGCGTGGAGGGCGCTATATAAATCCAAGTTGTTGTTGTTGTTCTATAAAGCGATGTGGCTGAGCGTATTTTGTGAGCAAATATGCACAGACCAATGCCCCACAAACAGCCATGGTATGAGTGTCCAAAATAAACATTTTATTTGGGGGATCGCTCCCTCCTGCTCTATGTTTTTGGTGTAAACACACCTAACAATAATAATAATGATAATAATAATAATAATGATAATAATTTCTGCATTTGATATTAAAGGATTGTAGTAAAGAACATGCAAGTACTTATTTAAAAACTGTAGTTCTTTATAAATGACCTGAATGCCAGTTACTTCGCTGTAGGTGTGGCGTTAGCAAGTTTGCTTTTCAAGTACTGGTTAAACGTCACTTGATGCACATATCACAAGGATTTCTCAGCCACGTTCTGAGGTGCAAATTACCGCAGGGGTTTTGCCCAGACCAAAAAAAAAACAGTCTGGAGCCTGCCAGGCATTTGAGACCGGTTTGAGCGAACCAAAGAAGATGGAACGGATTCTCTCGCGCGGTTCGTCCCTGGGGACCGGCTGTCGCGGCGCTCGGTGCTGTATGGCCTGTTCCCGGGCCATCATAAACTCGGTTAAGGAGGCCCTTTGGCCACTCCCGAAACCAGGTGTTCTTCTGGCAGAACGAAAGGGGGGGACGGTGAGGGCCTGCCTCAGGCTCGGGCAGGCTAGGATCAGGGACCATACACTGAGGGACAAGCTGAAGCTCGGCTCAACTCAGGAGCCGCTCCAGCACAACCCGCTCAGGGGCAGCCCCTCGAGTGCACCCGAAACTGACTGAAATAAGGGTACAGAAGGACCCTTGAGATGTAACCAAAGAGCGCCCCCGGAAACTATGTAGGGTAAACATGTGCGCGGACGCTGCACATCGGGGTGCCTTTCCCTAAAGCGGCGAGCGCACCTTATCGGGGTGTGCGCGGACGCACGCGTGGGTGTGGTGCACGCAGGGACGAGTGACTCCCTACGGTATTAAAGGGAGCGTCTCTCCCCTCCCCTCTCAAAAAAAACGTGTGCACAGCCTGCGTGCGGGGAAGGAACGAACCGTAAACACCCGGGGGGGTTTTTTGTATCGGGAGAAAAAGGGAAAAAATTGTAACAGAAGATGTTGTGTTTGTCTTTGGATTTCTGTCGTGCTAAATATTGTATTGATAAATAAATGTATATTTTTCCCAAAACCAAGCAAATTACTTGCGGTACTTGCGTGCTTACGTGTTAGTCGTATAAACTCCGACCTCCACGTAACTTCGCACAAGTCACACATGGAAGTTTGCCATCACTCATACTTTGCGTAAGTCGTATTAAATGTTGCGCTCCCAATTGATACAACTTATACTGCGCTTTCCTCAAGTGCACAGTGTCGATCCAAAGCACTTTCTAATTCGAGAACAATACGCAAAGATGCCGCAAACTCCATTTAGTCTCTGAGTCACTTCTTCACACCTGCTACGCACAGGCTTGGCTACGACAGCTCTTGAAAAGGCCAGCTTGTATCTGCTAACTCTGGGCGCGCTCGCAACCACTCACCTGCCGTCCGTGAAGCGTCAAACATTTGCAAAACTTAGTGACTGTTCGTTCGTTGTCTGTGGATGTGCAGTGGGCGGGGGTGGCCAGGCTATAATTCTCTGGTATCCAGCACATCCTCCTCACGCGATAGGCGCTGTTTACAATTGTACTTTCTTGGTGGTTGTTCTTTCCTGATAAACATTTAATCTTGGATTTGCTGTTGTAATAAAATCCACTCGACTCAAGCAAGGCCGATGTCTGTACCGACGGGCAAGGGATGGCCAATGTGGTTTACAACAAGCACGCTGCAATCCGCCTTAACGCTAACTTAGACCACACGGGGAGATGTGTCGACAGACGTCACCTGAAAGCTTCACTGATCACCTTCTGGTTTAGTTGCTGCGAGGCCTTTTCTGACATACAAAATGCTGGGGAAAATCCCCACCCGCCCCTAGGAATCGCCCAGCAGTCACGTCAAAACTCCACACCAGTAAACTGCCCTTCCATAATAATAATAATAATAATAATAAATAATGTTCATGGCGATTTCGTCAGCAGACTCTAAGCGGTCACTGTTTAGGCAGTTTTTGCAGAATTCTAGATAGATTTTACAGAATGTTATTTGATAATGAAAGACGTTGTATGATTACTACTTATGAGGTTCCTGCTTTCATGGTATTGTCAACGTTCCTAAATCATTTGAAACAAACACATAAAGAATTTGCTGCTTCTGTAGAAATCTGTTTTTTAATATTTCTGGACGTGGGATAAAAGTTCTCACCAGTGACAATTCCTTAAAAAAATGACCTTGGCTGTTAGCTCCACTTGAAGGTGAATATATTGGAAACTTTTCAAGAGAAGTGATCAGAGAGAAATTGTCTTGGACCCTGGTAATAAAAGGAAGAGTGAATTAAGAAGGAAAGCCCATTTTGCTTGTCTTGTCTTGTCCCATCATGTCTCTAACGATAATTGAATGTGACTTTGAGTCACCATCCTCTCTTTGGACTTGAATTGTTGTTCCTTGATATTGAGGCAAATGTGCAAACAATAATACCATAATAAAACTCTAATACCAACCTGTGTTTATCACTAGGACAGAGAACTGAGACCAGAAGAAATTGAAGGTAAACTGCCACGTCTCCTGTTTATTGTTTGCTTGTACTGTATGTCTTGTCGACGTATTTGACTTGAAGGTTTCACTAAATATTTGATCAAAATTCGAGCCCAGAAACTGTAGATATCTCCGCTCCCCTCTTACATACTCACAGACACACACGCGCACACCTACATAAATGCACACACAGACATACACACACACCTACACAAATATACATGCAACACACAAACACATACATAAACATTGCATCCGGACACACGCACATACACACACTTGCATTTGTACAAACACATATACTGTATCGACACAGACAAACACAAACATTGACACAGACACAAACAGACACATACACATCCACACACACCACCACCACATAGACAGACAGACAGATAGAGAAAGAGAGACACACACACACGTTTAGTGGGATTTTTCTGAATGTTTTAGGCTCTATGCCACAAGACCTTTTTTGGTCGAATTGTGCCTTCATTTCGTAATATTTCTGTTAATTCACTGCCCACCCTAACGCAGACCCAGAATGTCCCAGGTCCAAAGCCTGGTGGTACAACTGTTACTGTGACTCCAGAGTGACACGTGCCTAACCCAGTAACTTCTGGTGCAAAATATATGTGTGTATGTGGTGGAGTAAACCTAGAAAGTATTAATGTTTGGTTAGCAGATCTCTAACTGACAGTAATTGGACTCCCTGGGGTTAGGATGAATCTTGTAGTCTGGGTCTGCTCACACAGCACAGACATTGGTGTGGCGGATAGGGTGGGGGTAAGGAAGCAGACATTGGTGTGGCGGATAGGGTGGGGGTAAGGAAGCAGAATGGTTGAAAGCTCGCCCACCATTGGTGTGGCGGATAGGGTGGGGGTAAGGAAGCAGGCCAGTGTCTGCTGAGCGAAGGGCGTGAAGCCCGCTGAATATAACCGCATGGAACTTCACAAGTGCAGAAACGGACATTACGCCTACACAAGCTCACAGTCGCACTGTCAGTGTGGCTCAGATCGCCAGTGCTCTCACATCTGGATCAGAAGGATGTGAGTTCACGTCGCTCACCAGGGACTTGGGTTCCTACTCAGGAACATAGGAACAGGAGGAGGCCATTCGGCCCCTCGAGCCTGTTCCACCATTCTGTTAGATCACGGCTGATCTGTACCTCAACTCCAATTACCCCCCTTTGCCCATATCCCTTGATAACCTGACCTCACAAAGGCATAGCCTTACTCTAAACTCCAGTGCAGCACTGAGAGAGAGCTGGATTGTTGGAAGCCTTGCTTTGTTGGGTGAGGTGTTGAAGGCCGACCTCACCTGAGTGTTCCGGTGGTTCAGATGGACATTAAAACTTCTAATGTGGCTTCTGTTTTGTAGACGATCAGGGAGTTCCAATGTTGTTTTGGCCAAGATTTCTCCCTTATTTCAGTTTACCCAAATTCCTGATTTAAACGTGATTATACGTCGCATTACTGTTCGGGGGAGTTTGCTGCCGCAGATTAGGTGCTGACGTAAAATGGTCGCTACACTTGAAAGCAACTCGTTGTTTGGAGCTCTCCGTATTCATTTCGACACGTTAAGACGCTGCTTCAAACACGAGTATTATTTACTGACCTCGATAATTCTCTTCCGCCGTGCGAAGCCCATTTTCGTAAGCGTAGAAAGTTCTCTAAAAAGCGTTCAAAGCCATGTATCTTCCCACCAAATGATGCAATTAGTCACGTTTGACTGGAATTCATACTTCTCTTAAGACATGCAGTGTGAAATGATCCTGACTGATACAAGTTGTACAAGTTTTACTGCATTGGGAAGTTCATTTCAACCACGGACTATTTACCCATTCTCACGATTGTGCAAACAACGGGAACTTGCTCTATTTGTTTCGAGGCTCTGACGAGTTATTCTTTCTCGGCAGAACTGAGGGAAGCATTTAAAGAGTTTGACAAGGACAGGGATGGCTTCATCAGCTGCAAGGATCTGGGGAACTGCATGCGAACAATGGGCTACATGCCAACGGAGATGGAGCTGATCGAACTCTCACAGCAAATCAACATGAACTGTAAGTCAAAGAGCGATGCAAAGCCTGTCCCCACCCAGGTAGTGGAGCCCTGTGGCGTAGTGGTCAGAGCACTCGCCTCGCAAGCGAGAGGACCTGGGTTCAATTGCCAGGTAAGTAGGAACCCGGTTGTTAGTCGATTGGTGCACCGTTTTTCCAGGAGAATTAATAATAATCCCTTCAAAAAAAAATTCATTAAGAAAAAAATAAGAATTTGGTCACTTCAATCCACGACTGTTTGCGGGGACTCTGCTGTGCGCAATTGGCTGCCGCGTTTCGCCCACAAAATATACAGTCAATTCCTTTACAATGTATTCTGTGAAGCGCTTTGAGACGTCTTGAAACGTGATAAGGCGCTGTATCAAATTCAGGGATAATTATTATTATATCAAATACAAAGATTATTATTATTATTATTGCTCAGTCGCATTGAACCCAGATATAATCTGATAAGGCATCTTAACGTGGCTCGGTGTTAGCGTTGGTCAATTGGTAGCTCTCTCTTCTGAGTCAGAAAATTGTGGATTCAAGCCCCACGTCAGGACCTTGAACTTCACAAAAAAAACTGCACTATGGTGCTGGGGTTAATTGCATGGTCAGAGAAAATAAGTGGGGTCTCCTTGGAGTTGAGTTGGATTCAAGGTGACCTGCTCGGCAATGGAAGTTTAGAATCGAATCAACCTTCTGCGGTGGGCTCGGTAGTCCGGTTCCAGGGCACTGCTGAAAATAACAGCCCAACCCAGCCTGGCTCATCGGTAGGACATGGAAGGGCAGGGCAGTCACTGGGGGCAAGGATTCTTAGCTCCTGTTAACCGTCCAACCCAAAGCCCTAACAGGTAGGGTGGTCCTAGGCTGACAAGCAGTGGGAAACCTGCCAAGGTGAAAGCCCCGGTAGCCACTATACATGTGTAAAGTGACACATGTAAAGAAAGCAGCAGGACACACGCGCGCAAGCCGGCAGTGAATGAAAAGTGCTGGGAGGGAAGATGAGTGAGCATTGCGAGTTATGTAAATGGCTTTGGGGAAGGACACATACTCAGAGATAGTTGGTTAAACTAAGAACCACGGGTACAGGAACATGTAACCCATGGAGTCCTGTAGCTCAGTGGTTAGAGCACCCGCCTCGCAAGCGAGAGACCTGGGTTTGATTCCCGGCGGGTCAGTGCGAAACGTTGGTACAGGCTGACACACTTCTTTAAAAGCAATCACAAAGTCACAGCATTTATGTTTTATTCGTCCACTTATTGGGCTTGGCTTTGCTTGCTTCCCGCAGTGGGCGGACACGTTGACTTCGATGACTTTGTGGAGCTCATGGGGCCGAAGCTCCTGGCAGAAACAGCAGACATGATCGGTGTCAAAGAGCTTCGAGACGCTTTCAAAGAGGTGAGCGGTTTTTAGTGACTGTAAAATACTTAGAAGAACATGGGAACAGGAGTAGGCCATTCAGCCCCTCGAGCCTGTTCCACCATTCTATTAGATCATGTTTGATCTGTACCTCAGATCCATTTACCCGCCATCCATTTGCTGCATATCCCTTGATACCCTGACCTACCAAAAATCTATCCACCTCAGTCTTGAATAATTCAATTGATCCAGCATCCACAGCCTTTTGGGGGAGAGAGTTCCAGATTTCCGCTACTCTTATCTAACAAAAATGTGTATCGACCTCAGTCTCGAAAATTTTAATTGTCTAGGAATCAAACCCAGGTCCTCTCGCTTACTCTAACCAACACGCCACAAGACTGCAAACTCCACTTGTTCTCTCTACTGGAATATTCCAGCCTTGATCTGTTACCGGCAGCGAAACCGTATTTCTCAATACTCGAGGGTATTGCTCGAGTTTCGTGAACAGACGTGTAATGTGTGTCCTAGACCGAGACCAGATGTTTATTTTTTTTTGCTCAAATACACACAGTTTGACACAAACGGAGATGGTGAAATCAGCACATCAGAACTTCGGGAAGCCATGAAGAAGCTACTCGGTCAACAGGTTGGGCACAGAGACATTGAAGAAATACTAAAAGATGTTGACTTGAATGGGGACGGTCGGGTTGACTTTGAAGGTAAAATGCTTCTTATCTCTTCTCAGCAGGAATGATACGATTCACACTTATATAGCCGTCTTTCACATCTGGCCATCATAAATTTTAAGACCGTTGTTTTAAGACACCGGGAGAAACCATCTTCTCTTTTGTCGTGGGATTTTTAACGTCCAACTGAACAGGCAGATAGGACCTTGGTTTAACGTCTCGTATAACCCCCCCCCCCTCCTCTGCCCACCGTCTTTGCTGAGTTAACGCCCTCCCAACCATCCCTGCCACCATCAGCGGCTGTGCCTTCAGCCACCATATGCCTAATATATTGGAACTCCCTGCCTCGATCGCTCCGCCTTCGCTTCTTCTTTAACTATCGTTAAATCCCACTTTTAAGACTTACATCTTCAACCACGCCTATGGTCGCCTCACCTCCTTCTTGCTCGGCGACCAAACCAGCCATTGCTCAGCGCTCCCCCCGAGACGCCATCTTGCTTGAAGGGCGCTGTCTAAATGCAAGTTGCTGCTGTTAACACTCGTTTCATCTCCACGTTGCAGAATTTGTCAGGATGATGTCTCGGTGAGCGTTCGCGAAGCGAGGAGTAAGTCCGCCGCTGGCAAAGACGTCAGATATCCACCAACTGGTCGCGACACTTTACCACCGCTCCCGAGACTTTATTTAACGGTTCGTAAAGCAAAGCCTCGTTCTATTTAGCTGTTCAAGAACATCCGAGTTTCCGAGCAAGGACCTGGGGCTTTGTGCTACGCCAGTTAAACGAACTGAAACAAAGGACCTGTATTTCCCGCTGTCTTACGCCTCCAGTAAATATCATGCCAGAATATGCATGATCTGCTGCTCCGAAGACTCAAGTATATCTTGTACATATGAGATGCGTCTATCTTCAAATGTGCCGTGTTCAAAATAAACTGATCCAAATCGAGGTTTGAGTGAGACGTTCCTCCTGCTGTTTCGGTCATTTTTATTCGTGCTGCTCCCACCCACCAGTACGTTCTCTATTGTACTGTTCATCATGAGACCCGTAGTGTAGTGGTTAGAGCGCTCGCCTCACAAGCGAGAGGACCCGGGTTTGATTCCCGAGCAGGGCGAAACCTCAAGCCAGTTTCATTACTCCACACGCCTGTTTATCCGGGAGGAAGTAAGGGCTCTGTTGCTCAACATGTTGCTGTGACGGCAGTAGAGACATAGCTTTCTAGGGGTAATAAATGCCTTCAAAATAAATAAATAAATAAAATAAAATAATAATAATAATCATTTTGTTGCTCAATCCACACCTGTTTGTGGGACGCCGCTGTGCGCAATTGGCTGCCGTGTTTCGCCCGCAAAATATACAGTCAAGTTACATTACAGTATATCCTGTGAAGCGCTTTGAGACGTCTCAAAAATAAGGGTGATAAGGCGCCATGTCAAATGCGAGGACTATGATTATGTTATTATATTATAACTTATTCACATTTCAAAGCAGATTTTTTGTTGTAACTTCAAACGCAGTGTCATGTCTCCTCGCTCTATAAAGCCCAGTAGAAAACACTGCTGTGATTAATTTCGACGCTGGTTCTGTGATTGCCTGAAGTGTAAATGTAATAACTTGACGAAATCCGCTTTTGCTTTTATGTCTCCGTGTGCTTTTGCCCTGCGAGGTCCCCGTCCACACTGTGTTCGAATGAATCATTCCAGTCCTGGCTACGAGGTGCCAGAAACATTCTGCTCTGAGTCAGTCTATTATATTCGCCCCCCCCCCCCACCTCCAACTCCTACCCCCTGCGGATGATGAACAAATAAGCCTGCTTTCACATACACTTCCAACACACACTCCATTGAAAATAAGAACAAAGCTGGCAGTTTTATGACAGACAAAGCCAATTGCGCACATCTGTAGAACATTTGCGTAGCTCAACATGTTGCTGTGACGACAGCAGAGACGTGTGACGGTAAGGGATGGAAGTTCAGGCTCCTGCTCGCTGATGCTGAATTGTCAGGTCGCTTTTTTTAAAAAGAAGGTGCAGTGTTTCCTCTTGACGTGAGTTGGCAGGAGGTGGGGTGGGAAGGGGCGCTTACTTCGACCTCAATGTACCGATTCCCCGGGCAGAAGAAACTAAACGGCTTTAGGGCTTGTTCAGCGAGGCTGTTCTTCACGAGTAAAATGTTGCTTTCGTGATATCGGTCTGTTCATCCCCGCTTACCTACTGGTTGACATTTTCCAGTGGATTGATGTATCTATTGTTTCTGTAAGGATTATTATATATTATTATTAATTCCAAATACCTCCCGCTAACTAACCTTGGTTAACTAACCTTTGACTTAAAAAATAAATGAAATGTCCTCGCCTAGTTTACTTCAATGAATTAACATCCATCTTGTGTTCCCTCTGTTCCACTGAATCGTCATTACGCACCTCTCCGGCTCCAACCAGGGAATCAATGAATAAAGTGGAACAGCAGTTAAAGATAATGGGAAGCCGCCAATACTATTTTGCACGAGGTGTGCGTCCAGTGGGATGTTTCTTGCTGCTTGAGATTTATTGACTGGGTTCATGAATAACCTATATTGGCTCAACACTGAGTGCTGTTAACTGTGCGTGCCTCCTTCGAGACCCGTCTCGAGACCCTCCACTTTGACCGTGTTTTCAGTCTCCTTCCTTCGCCCCCCCAACCCCCCCACCGCCCTCCACCCTCCCCGATCCTGCCCCCCAGCTCAAAACACTGATTGTCCAGTGCCTTGGGACGTCCTCCCGACGTGAAAGGCGCTATACACGTGTAATTTTGTTGTTGTTGATATGCCTGTGGCTTTGTCCTGCCCTAGAGATGCCTGTTCAACTTATAAAGAGCTTTTCTGGTCCTACCTCTGTCTCTGCTCTTTGTTATATTAAACGTCACCTCTTGCATTTTTTTATGTGTGAACCTCTCCCTAAGCTCGTTTAGAGCTACAAGTCTGTTCACAAGGCTCTGGGACACAACAAGAACAACTTGCATTTACAGAACGCCCTTCACGCAAGATAAAGCTTTACAAAGATGGTGTCAGACACTGAGAAAGGGAAAGGGAGAGGGGAAAGTGAGGTGCGGTTGAAGAGGTAGGTCGGGAGGATGTCCCAAACCGATGTGAAAGGCGCTCTACAAATGTAATTTTGTTGTATTTTGTTGTAGGTTTTAAGGTGAGATTTAAAGATAAATGGTGGGGGGAGGGGATGAGGTGGAGGGATAAAGGGAGGGAGCACCAGAGGTTAGGAACTTAGAGGCATCTGAAGGCTTGGCTACAAAAGGTGGCTCGTAGAACGGGGGAGGATGTGGGGCTGGGGAGGACCTTGCACAAGTTTCCTTACTCCACACGCCTCTGTTTACCCAGCAGTAAGTAGGAACCCGGTTGTTAGTCGATTGGTGGATCGCTTTCCAGGACTTAATAATCCCTCCCAAAAACATTTGTTCACTCAATCCATGACTGGATTGACTGGACTTTTTTCCCCCTTCCTCGCTCCCTCCCTTCCCTCCCCTCACCCTGACCATTTCCCCCCTGCTCGGGTCATGACCCAACTGTGCAGCGCCTTGGGACGTCCTCCTGACGTGAAAGGCGCTTTATAAATGGAATCTTGTTGTTGTTGTTGACTGTTTGCGAGATACCGCTGTGCACGATTGTCTGCCATGTTTCGCCCGCAAATGCACAGTCAATTCACTTTACAGTATATCCTGTGAAGCGCTTTGAGACGTCTCGAAGACGAGCTAAGGCGCTACTCCAAATGCAAGGATTATTATAGTATATTATTATTATTATATGATAAGGCCCTTTATCACCACCAACAACAATAGCATTATTATTGTCGTTATTCTATTATTATTATTATTAGACGTTTTACTAGTTTGTTTCATTTACAACGCACACCCAGACACAGTAACATAATTTCCCAATGACAGTCCGATCTCACGACCAAACTCTCCAGGAGATAGTGGATCCAGGCCCTGTGTGTGATTGCTTAGGGCACGGCTGAATGGAAAATGAATCTGATAAAAATCAAACACCCTGCCCTTGTTGCCTTCTGGAATAGAAATAGCCAATAATGATTTTTACTTGCTATCGCGGAACTCAGACCTCAAACTCCCCCTGAACCAGGCCCTGACCACATGTTCGTCGACTGTATAATTGCTTTCACCCTCTCTCTGTTCTCAAATTCGCTCAGTGCGAGAGAGAGAGAGAGAGAAATAACACCACCAGAGACAGAATGCTCTTAGATAATATCTTGGTTCAAGATTGTCTCGGTCTCCTCAAACCTTTAAACAAAGCGTTTAAAAAGAAGAAAAATCCCCTCCCCCCGCCCCCCCCACCCTCTCCCCCAGACCTAATCTCAAAAAATCTGAGAGCTGTTTTTTGATGTGCCCTATTAAATCGACCTCTGGCAAAAGTACACAGCAAAGTAAGATGCAGAGAGATTGAAACAAATTATTTTACTGATGATACAAGCAAGCCGTTGTTGCTTGGGACTGAACAGGGACGAATAATAATAATCCTTTCATTTGATCCAGCGCCAGTCACATCAGGAGCACATCTCAGAGCTGTTCGTACGATCTACTCGGACTTTGGAATGAGACCAGGACTTCGGGAGAAACTTCCTTCTCTTTTTGAGTACTGTTGTGGGATCTTTAACATCCGCCCGAACAGGCAGACGGGACCTCGGTTTAACGTTTCACCTACACAGCACCTTCAACAGTTCCGGCACTGAATTGGAAAATCAGCCGAGATAGTGTGAGATCAAAGTCCTGACGTGGAACTTGCACCCAGCACCTTCTGACTCAGAGACTCAGAGACGAGAGCGCTCCTGACTGAAGCAGGCTGACACCCGAGAAATGATTTATAATAATTATAACGATATTACGTATACTTGTATTTCGTAATCTGCATTTGCATAAAACCTTTCACGTCAAATAAACGTCTCGCATCGTTCGCTAATAAAAAAAAATTGATTAGAAATGCGAGATGGATTTTGCTCTAATCTGTGCCTATAAATAACATCGAGACGAACAGAAATTTATGTGGAATCCAGGAATAAAATTTGAATGAGGTTTTCATGGCTACCCAGAGCAGTGCTGATAGTTGAACGTGTTATTCTTAGTCTTGCTCGAAGCAGACAGGGCAAAAATACCAACCAGAATTAACAGGGCTATTAAAATAACGGATAGAGACCTGCCACCATAGCTGCTTTTCTGATAATTAAGGATTATTGGTTCCAGGCATTTGAATTCATTGCTCTGGTAAGATATCTGCACAGACTCTGCACAGATATCACAGCTAAACCCATTTACTCTTATGTCCCATCTGAACTTCAAATTTGCGTTCAAATCAACTGTCTCGGTGTTTGAATTGAGACTTATTCGACTCTCGATAAATTTAATTTCCTCTCTCCCCACGTCTGATTTTCTTCCTCCTTCCCTCGCCTAACAAGTGTCGGAGAGGACCCAGGTTCGATTCCCGGGCAGGACAAAACGTTAGGCAAGTTTCCTTACTCCACACGCCTCTGTTTACCTAGCAGTAAGTAGGAACTCGGTTGTTAGTTGACTGGTGGATCACTTTCCGGGGTAATAATCCCTTCAAAAAAACGATCACTTAATCCATGACTGTTTGTGGGCACAACAACAACAACCACAACAACACTGCTGTACGCAATTGGCTGCCATGTTTCACCCACAAAATACACAGTCAATTGACCTTACAATAAATTCTGTCCGATCCAAGGAGCTGACTGTAACTGAGGGATCCTTAACCAAACACGTT